GGATAGATGATGGATCCTTGCGGTCCTGAATGCATGCCTGATGGCGGGCACCTGGAGTAGGGTGTGGGCATAGGTAGATGAGATTCACCTGGGCTAAGATTGTGCTTTTTAAGGGCGGCGTCCTGGGACGGTGACGCCAGTAGAAGACAAGAACAAACGGAAGCCGAGAGAAGAAGAGAAGCAGACAGAACGCCAGAGAGCCCAGAGAGAGTGAGGATTGATTGGCTGGGGGCTGGGAGGACTGCCAGCCTCCCGGCCCCCCCAACTCCCCTGCCTGCCACATACCCGCTAAATCCCAATAAAATACCTGCAAAAAACCACTGAGGACTCTGACTCCTCCTTTACCCGGTCTGCTGGATCATAGAAAACCTGCTCAGTGCCCTGTTCCTGCCCCTACAATCGAATTGCTACATAATCACCTTAGCTTTGACAGTACCTCAAGAAATTGAGTAATAGTGTATCAGCACAAAGATTCTTATAAGTCAGCCCCACTTATTTCCAATTTTCATTTTCTACATTACAGACTCAAAGGATTATATACATTTATTTCTACTATGTTTGAGGAAGAATTGGTGGATTCGAAGAGTAAAATGAAATTACTGTTCAATAGAATCTAACAACTAGCATTCAAGACAGCAGTCATAAGTAGAATTGTTCTCGCTTTAAATTAGTTATCAGTTATGCTTTTTCAATCATAACAGAGAGGTTCTACCTCTTTCAATAGTTCTATTGTCTTTCTACAAATAAACTTTGAAATAAACTTCCAGTGATGGTTTGCTGTCAGATCTGCAATTCACCAACTGAGTCTAAACAAAGTTGTCTGCCTTTGATTCCATGATTAAACCTGTTGATTTTCTGGAATCTCAAGAGTAGACCTGATATTGTATCTTACACAATGTTTTACTTCCCACTCAAAATGGCCAACTTCTTATTTTTTTTGTGGATGTGAAACTTATAAAGACAAATATTCCTATTTATGTACACTTACTTTTTTTCCACTAACAACCTGTTTATATGACAGAATTTCTGAATTTGCTGTCTAATTGCTTATCATTTTCTTCAGCTGTTCCTTGCAACTGAATTGAATCTAGGAGCTGCATGTGTATCACTTATGAAAAAGTTATTTATCCTTAAAACACACACATGCCACACTCACAACATGAACTGTTAACCTGAAGGAGTATGTTGAAAACAAATAAGTTTCAGTAGTAACCGTCTGTTGGGCCTACAATCAGCCAGGTGCTTACTAATTTGCCATATAAGGAGTGGAGAGCAGAGGACTAAACAGGGAAGCAGGTGTCACTGACTTTCCCAAACAAATCTCCATTCTGACATAACAAACTTGAGACAACTATTGTGAACTTGGAGTTTCCACTTTTAGCTTGTGGGTGGTCCTCACCAATTTCCAGCTTTTGAGCTCTCCAGGGCTGCAATTTCCTCAAGCTATTCACCCTGCTAAGTAGGGCAATCTAAGCTATAATCATCCATTTCTGTGCTGTTTGAATGTACTCATTCATTAATTCAATAAGTAAAATCTGCGATAGTGAATATTCTGTGTCTGTGGAATTCCGAAGTAATTAATATACTCTGTCTTTCTTCAAACTTAATAACGTAGGGAGAAAATAACCAACTAGTGAAACATTACAAAAATCAGAATTTCCATTAGGCATGCACTTAAGATGCTTGAAAAGGAGCTCTGACGAATGGTTTAGTTAACCACTGAAAGCATACCAAATTTAGGAATTAATAATTTTCACTTTGGTTTTGGGAAAGGAAGAGAGGAAGCTGCTATGGTCTGAATGTTTGTGTCTTCCCAGAGCTCATGTGTTGAAACCTAACTCCCTCCCACCCCTACTCCCACCCCCGTGGTGATGGTGTTACTATGGTGATGGGGGTCTTTGGACAGCGATTAGGCCTAAAAGCAGAGCCTTCTGAATGGAATTAGTGTTCTTATGAAAGAGAATTTAAGGATGTTCCCTTGCCCCTTCTGCTCTCTGAGGTTTATTGTGAAAAGACAGCTGTCTATGAGGAAGCTGGCTCTCACCAGACATCAATTCTGTGCCAAGATCTTGTACTCCCCAGCCTCCAGAACAGTGAAAATAAGCGCTTCTTGTTTTTAAGCCACCCAGTTTGTGATATTTTTTTAAATGGCTATTTATTTATTATTATTATTATTTAAAGATTTATTTATTTATTTATTTATTTTTATACAAGAGCTGGTGCATAGGCCAGAGGCACAGGAGGGTGAGAGGATTCACCAGAGACAGAGTGGGGAGCAGAACAGGCAGATGACTGAAATACATGATGAGGGGAGCAGCGGGCAAGACAGGAGAGGTCCGCCACACCATGTGGGAATCTCCCTGGTTGGCCAGGAATGGAACCCATGCTGCAGAGGCTGCAGACAGCTTCACAGCGCTGCGCTCAACCCTCTGAGCCACCAGGGAGGCCCAATTTGTGATATTTTTGTTATAGCAATCCCAACTCACCAACATGGGAGTTAATCATTGAGTTAGGAGTTTTACAAACTATTCAGCAAGTCTCAAACCATGAGACAGAGTATTTTACTTATTTTATAAATGAGAAAGTAATTGTTCAGCAAAGTCAACTGCTTTTTAGTGGGCAGAGCTACCCAGCCTGTCAGTGTCCAAAGTTAGAGGGTCTTCTGCAACATGACACCTCATTTTACAAAACAAGAGCTCTCAAAACCATTCGTTTTTCTACCTTTCTTCTTCATAGATTGTTACACTTAGATTATGTTTATTAAAATAAGAAAATGCGGCCTCCCCTCGTGGCAAAGCAGTTGAGCACTGGGCTGCGAAGCTGCCCACAGCCTCTGCAGCACCAGTTCGATCCCTGGCTGCTGGCAAGGGTCCCACATGGCGCGCAGACCTCTCTTGCCGTACCCGCTGCTCCCCTCAGCAGTGTATTTCAGTCAGTCTGCCTGTTCTGTTACCCGCTCTGGCTCTGGTGAATTCTCTCACCCTCCAGAGCTTCTGAGTGCACCCAGTGCTTGTATACATACATACATACATACATACATACGTACATAAAATGTTTTAAAAATAAATAAAAAATAAAAATAAAATAAGAAAATGTGGATTAAGTTTTGTCAGATTATAAAGATCCTAAATATTGCTAAAACTGCAACCAAAGAGAAATTGTTGATAAAAATTTGTCACTGATTTTTCAAACAAATGTCAGATCTGGGCAGTATAGTCATATAAGGGTCATACTTATCTACAGAATCACTCTGAATTGTTTAATACTTATACACTTTTGCTGGGAAATTATCTGAATTTCTTATTTTTCAGTCTGTCTTTACTAAAATTATCTTTGAACTTGAGGTTATGTGAACACAGTAACTAAATTCATGAAAATGTAAGTTTTTCCAATTATATATATACACACACACACACACATGAATAAAATGATTTTGGTGGGTAAAATACAATACTAAACAATTGAAGAGTCTTCAAATTCATAAATGCTTATAAAGCTTTTTCAACAACTGACATTATCTAATTTGGGTCCTAAGAGGAAATCCTATTAATGGTAAAAATGGTAAGACTTTAGGAAACCTTTGACACTTTGAAGAATTGGGACCTCTCCATTCTTCATTTGGCACAGTCCCTCATGTCAATGGAATCTATGACTAATTTGGATGATCAAAATACTATAGCACCCATTATATTCTTTAATTTTTTGAAGTTCCTTTAAATGTGTCTGCTACCTAGCAAACAAACTGGATGTATTGGATTTGGAACAGCCTGCCCGTGATATATATTCCTTCTTAAGCCAATGCTTGAATGATGCTGATTTTTTTTTAAATATTACCTCCTTTTCACAGAAATGTGTCTGTAACAATGCCTATTTCCTCCTGTTAACATTAGCTTCAAGATGGCACTTTCACTTTTTTTTTTAAAGATTTATTTATTTGTACAAGAACCAGGGTACAGACCAGATGTGTGGGAGGGTGAGAGGAGTCACCAGAGACAGAGCGGGGAACAGAACAGGCAAACTGACGAAATAGACTGTTAAGGGGAGCAGTGAGCGAGACAGTGGGACCCTTGTCAGCTGGCGGGGATCAAACCCACACTGCAGAGGCTGCGGACAGCTTCACGGTGCGGTGCTCAACCGCCTGCTCCACCAGTGAGGCCCAAGATACTGATTTTGCAAAATAAAAACTCTCATCCTTTTCTTAGGATGTTTAGTTTCCTGAGTTGTATCTATCCTCTGTTAAATTTCAGAATTTATTCATAAAATTATGTTTGTGCAAATTCCACTTCGGAACATGTTTTGAAATTAGTCCCAAATTTATAAAAATAAAATCCACAAACAACTGTGGTAATGTCAATTATCTATGAAGATTCTTCTTGTTCAAAGAAAAATACTGTCAGGCAAGTTTCTTCTTGTTTTCAGTTTTTCTCATCACCATAAAATCTGCTTACTTTTAAAACATGTAAACTAGAAGTGCTAAGTACATAAATTAACTGATTTCATTTATTTAAGGAGAAATTTTCTGGAAAAATGAAATTTTTATGTAAACAGTTTATAAACTACATGTGAGCTTTTGTACCTTGATATCTTTGGAAAGGCAGAACCATTCATTTCTAAAATGGGAAAACTTTCTCTTTTAAACTGATTCCTTTTGAATATTCTACATTCTGATTCAAAAGAAATGCTAACATTACTCAGAGGCTTTGACATTTCAGTAGAATGAGAGTGCTACCACAGGGGTCCCCTATTATTAGTTCTAGCAGCTTTTACCTACTACTATCACATGTCTCCAAACCTGGAGTGTTAAAAAGTCCAGTATGTTCTTATTGGTGAATAACTGTTTTGACTGTCATCAACTATCTGAACACTGAGTGTGTCTGGTCCTTGACATTGACCTAAAATTCACATGGTGTTTACAGGTGAACTAGGAATCATGTTGTTGGCACTCTGTGAGCTTAATAAGTCCTGAGAACTCACACGAAGAGGACAAACAGGATGGAAACATGGCACTATTGATTCTATTGATCACCTGCTTTGTGATTATTCTTGCTTCTTCCCAGCCTTGCCAGACCCCTGATGATTTTGTGGCTGACATTTCTCCAGGACATATCATGATTGGAGGTTTGTTTGATATTCATGAAAAAATGCTGCCCTCTGAAGACTACCCTAGACGACCAGAATTTCAGAAATGTGTTGGGTGAGTAAAGCTTCAAAGAACACAGATTTCAAGATTATACCATAAAACTAGAACATATGAATATATTTGTATTAGCATCTAAATGGTTTTAATATAATCTGAACATATATTTTAAATTGCATGTAGTCTTTCGATCCTTCATTATCAGCACTACATGTATTTTTGACCTCCAAGTACAGAGGCAATGAATGCTTCACATTAACATACTTATTTGAATTTTGCCTAAAAAAGTAATCCCTGAAGACAACTGAGAAGACCAATAGGAAGACGCTATGGTCTGTCCATTACAAGTGAGCATAGAACACTTATATTTCTATTGCACATAACATGTATTTTGTTTTGAACATGAATCCATAATTTCTTTGTTTAAAATAAACTATATTTAAATTTTTCCTCTATATTAACATGTTTGTCAATATGGTATTCATTTTCTTTTCGAAATAATCTTATTCTTTCATGCTACATTAAGACCTTACCTAAATTCAAAATGTTCCTTCTTCCTGAAACACTTCACATTATGAAATTTCGACTACAGAGAAGACATTTGGCACAATGTACTATGAAAAGGTAATGCTGGGTGAGGATGTTACAAATGAATTTTATTTAGGAGAGTAAGAGATTAGAATTATAATTTCACTTTGGGGACAAATTCATTTTTAACTAAGATAAATCACATAAACTCTTCAAGTTCCAGTTTCCAGTGTTATCCTCTGTAAAACAAGGGTCTGCATAACTTCTAAGACAGCATCAGTTTCAGTTGCCATGGCAATGTGACCCCAGGCTTATTTCTAACTCAAAAATCCTGAATTCTATCTTGATGTTTGTGTGTCCATTTAATCTCTTTTTTACTCCTCCCTTTTCTCTTTCTTTGTCTACAAACCTTTGCCCAGTCCTGTAAGAATGCTTTCAGATAAAATGTGAGTTATCTGCATCACACTGAGATTCCTTTCTGTTATTCTCCCCAGAAGCTGGGCACTAAGAACTACTTTGTCTTAATTGTTACTTTTTGGAAATACCAGGGGCCACTCTAAAAACAGTTAATAAAGATTTTCTCAACCAAAAACTATGAACCAGAGACACACTATGGGGGGAGGGAGGGCAGGGAAAGGAGAGATTGGGTCAAAATAAGGGGGTTGCAATTGTATGGGGAATATAAAAATAAAATTTTAATAAAAAAAGTTCATTGGGAAAAAAAAAGATTTTCAGAGCACTAAATTGGTATCCAAAGAACAGCTATGGATTTAAGCCCCCAAATCAAGAATGGAAAACACTTCAGGGTCAGGGTCTCCCTGGTGGTGCAAGGGGTTGAGATGCTACCTATGAAGCTAACCACAGCCACTGCAGCATGAGTTCAATCCCTGGCCAAGGAACAACCCACATGGTGCAGCAGACCTCTCCAGGCTTGCCCGCTGCTCCCCTCAGCAGTGTATTTCAGTCAGTCGGCCTGTTCTGTTCCCCGCTCTGTCTCTGGTGAGTCCTCTCAACCCCCACACCTCTGGCCTGTACTCCAGCTCTTGTATTCATAAATAAATAAATCTTAAAAAAAAAAAGAGAGAACACTTCAGGGTCATTTGATCTAATAAGGAGATTGATGGTAGAAGATGTCTCATGAAATTGAACATATTTTCACCTCATTGTTACAGTGAAATAGTATTCAGTCAACATTAAACAACTATTTATTGAATGTCCAAATTATCTAGACCCTTTTCTAGGTACTGAGGTTACGGAAGTAAATACATCAGAGAGGTTCTATCCCTCATGGAGCTAGTGTGGGGGAATCTGAAAATGCACATTTTGTCAGACAATTTGTTACTTGAAACTTACTTTGTCCTTTTTTCCTTTAAAGTAAAAACTTAATGCTGGTTGCCAAACTTTACAATGAAAGAGCACACTATGACAAGTAGCATTAGTTAAATAGTGGTATTTAATGTATCATAACTCAATGAATGAAAAAGAAATTTTAAAATATCAAAACCCTGAACAATACCACCCTTTATTATTCATTTGAAAAACACTGATTAAACATTTACTGTTATTAGGCACTTTCTGTTACCTTTTACATACAGTTGTGGACTAAATAAATTAAAGAGTAAATAAACAGTCAAATAATTCAGTGCTGAGGATAATCACACATGAAGAAGTCAACTGCAAAAGCCCTCTGAATGAGGAAGCAGCCAGCCTCAGAACTAAAATAGTTCTTTACCTGGAAGAAGGTTATTGGGTTTTCACTTAGAGCTGTTTTAGATGTAATTTTTAAGAGACTTATCAATCTGGATTCCAACTACAACAGATTAGAATCAAGAAAGTAAAAGATGAGCTTATGAGTCTAAAAATTAGATACTTGTGCAATAAAATGATGCTAACATTAACTACATGAAGTCACAAGAATCAGACACATCTTTATACTACAGAATATAGAAGTGAATAGCCAAAATGACGCCAAAGTTAATCAAGCAAAATTTGCATGCTATTCTACAGACTTCATTTGAGAAACTGTGGATTATTACATACCAGTTAGATAGGCTTCCATCAAAAGTTATTTTTTAAAAATGTTTACACCTTTCAAGAGCTTCACTGATCCAGAAATTTTCTCTCATAAGACAGAGATGAAGATAAAACCAGATATCATGTTCTGACTTAGAAAAATCTTGTTTCTCAACAGCTTCGAAATATCAATTTTTCTTCAAACACTTGCCATGATACACAGCATTGAAATGATTAATAATTCAACACTGTTATCTGGAGTGAAACTAGGGTATGAAATCTATGACACTTGTACTGAAGTCACCATGGCAATGGCAGCTGCTCTGAGGTTTCTTTCTAAGTTCAACTGCTCAAGAGAAATTGTGGAGCTTACGTGTGACTATTCCAACTACATGCCAAGAGTTAAGGCTGTCATAGGTGCTGGCTACTCAGAAATAACCATAGCTGTCTCCAGAATGTTGAATTTACAGCTCATGCCACAGGTAGGTTTTGTTCTAACTCCTACCTAGGAGTATGTTCGAACTCTTAATATAATGGTTTTGCTTGTATTCATTATTATGAAAGGCTTGTGGTGACCTGGGAAACTAGTTAGTGAGTAGCTTTTATGTTAACCTTTCTTTATCCTCAGTCAAAGAAAATATGGGTCTTATTACAAGTAGGATAGTGGACAAAGCATGCAGGGAATAGTCACCCCTCAATCTTTCAGGTCTAGTTTCTGACAGTTTTCAACATGATTTTGATAAGACACAAACTTCTGAGGGCTTCAACTGCCTTGTTTCTGAAATAACATTAGTCAAGTGCTGTGAAGAAACTGAAGACAGAGTGAAAGGTAAGAAGTTATATAGGTCAAAGACTTCTCAAGGAGGTAACACTTAGCCTAAAACTTGAATAAGAAGAAATACTTCTTATTATGAAAGAAGAAATACTTAGAAGAAATACTTCTTATTCAAGGAGCTGGGAGAGGGGGAGAAATCATTTAGGTCAAGAAAGTAGGAAGTGCAAAGTGGAAATATCCAAAGAATTATAAAAGGTCAGTATGGCTAGATCAGTTGAGCAGACAGAAGCATATCAGAAATGCATTTGTAGACTTAGCAAAGGCCAGGACAGGTAGTACCTTCTCAGCTGTGATATGATTTGCACTTGTTATCACTGTGTTGTGAAGGCTTTGAGCAGAGATTGTGGAGCTACATATCTCCTGATAATGCAATCCAATAATCAGAAAGTAAGCAAAAAGTCTTTGAAAGACCAAAACAGATAGTAGAGAGCCCAGCACTAAGTTCTTACACATGACTCAGGCAGGGCCCTTGGCTTTCATCTTGAGCTACTTACTTTCCTATCATATTACACTATAGCTCGCTAAGTCACTGCTTCCCAAACTCAAGGAAAATTGAAAGCCAACTGTTAGAAAGGAACAAGGCTTATAGTTATATGATCAAGAAATGACCACCCAATGGGTGAAAGCAGTCAAAGATGCCAATTTCCAATTATAAAATAAACAAGTCATGTGGATGAAATATATAGCATGGTGACAATAGTTAATAATATTGTATTGCATATTTGAAAGTTGCTGTGGGGTTAGATCTTAAAAGTTCTCATGATGAGAAAACATTTTGTAACCCAAGCATGGTAAAGGACACTACTAGACTTATCACAGTCATCACTTCATGGTATGAAGTGAATGAATCATTATATTACATATCTGAAGCCAATATAATGTTACAAGTCAATTACACCTCAGTATAAAAAAATGACCACATTTTGAATATAAGAGTTCAAAATATATAGCTTTCTGGAGCTACAGTAAATACACTGGCCGATGAAGAACTTTGAGAATTCCATTATATTTTAGTCTAGTGAGAGGTTAATAATGAAAACTTTATGTCCAAAAGACAAAAAAAAATAATTACTCCCCCAACTAGCTCAGAGATGAGACTTTCGACTAAAAATTTCTGGACTATGTATATTGCTAGTTATATGATAAGTAAGAAATGATAGTATAGCAATGACTCTAAACAGACACCAGGTATTAAATATCATAATCTAAGCTATTTTTATAGTAGGAATTCAGTGAAGGGAAAGATAGAATGGACCTGAAAATTTAGGGAAAGTTTATAGAAACTTACAGAAATCAATGAGCGGAACATCTACTATGAACAGCCATCCAGAACTCATCACTACCATAACTGAAAATAGTCTGTCAATTTTCAGGTGAGTTTTGAATCAACTGCAGAAATCTTAAGTGACAAAATTCGATTTCCTTCATTTTTACGGACTGTACCCAGTGACTTCTATCAAACTAAAGCAATGGTTCATCTGATTCAAAAATCTGGATGGAATTGGGTTGGCATCATAACCACAGATGATGACTATGGACGACTGGCTCTCAATACTTTTGCCATTCAGACCACAGCAAATAACGTGTGCATAGCATTCAAAGAAGTTCTCCCAGCCTTCCTTTCGGATGATACCATTGATGTCAGGATCAGTCAAACTCTCAACAAAATCATGGCAGAAGCCCAAGTCAATGTCATTGTGGTATTTCTGAGGCAATTTCATGTTTTCAAGCTCTTCAGTAAAGCCATTGAAAGGAATATAAATAAGACCTGGATTGCTAGTGATAATTGGTCAACTGCCACCAAGATTAGCACCATTCCTAACATTAAAAGGATTGGCAAAGTTGTGGGGTTTACTTTTAGAAGAGGGAATATGTCCTCTTTCCATTCCTTTCTTCAAAATTTGCACGTTTCCCAGGGATAATAACAAGCCCTTAATAGAATATGCTGTGCTCTTGTCTGCTTGTGCGTACGTCAAGGACAGTGATTTCAGTCAATGCATTTCCAACCATTCTCAAGGGACTTTGGCCTACAAGGACAACAAGGATATTGAAAGGAACTTCTCCCTGAGAAATGACTTCCTGTGGGATTACACTGAGCCGGGACTTGTTCACAGTATTCAGCTTGCAGTGTTTGCCCTCGGTCATGCTATTCGGGATCTATGCCAAGCTCGCAACTGTCAGAACCCCAATGCCTTTCAACCATGGGAGGTACTAATTCACAGTTGAGAAAATTTCCCTACAAAATTTTCTCCATTTTTTTCCTTGGTTTAATTTGCAAAAAGTTACATTAATTACTCCTAGTTATAAGTTACATCAATTACTCCTAGTTATAAGCTACATTAATTACTCCTAATTATAAGAGTTACATTAATTACTCCTAGTTCTTTCTATAAGGAGATAGACTTGACTTTATTGGTTATACCTGATCTTGCAGTTTTCCAATGCTTTACATAAATATACACCTTTAACATAAGGCAAGGCATAACTGATTATCTTTTTTATCATTATTTATTATCATATCATCTTTATGTATTGTGGATGAAGAAACTAAAGCTAGGAAGTACGGAAATACAACTCCAGTCTGAGTCTTCTGATCCCATGTCTTTGCTTTTCATGATGTCCTGTGTAATATACACCCAAAGCCTCTCCTTATGAATTTACTTAGGACAGTCTCCCTAGAACTCAGATCTCCTTCAAACAAATGTCGTTAGGTCAATCATAGCAATTCCTATGATATCTCAGGTTTATATTAACCATGAATTTTATGTGAAAGAGGTATTCCCTTTCTTTAGTTTATAGAAACTCAAATTAAAACTTGTAAATGCCCATAAATGTCATTTAAAAGTGAGTTGCTGCCTTATATGTTGATGAATTTCATTTATTAGAAATAAATTTCTCAATAATGTGTGTTCAAAACGAAATTTATCTTGAGATAGAATTAAGTTCCAAAAATATATTCATTTTAAATTTGCAAGACAAAAAACTTGAAAGAGAATAAGACTTAATTCTTCTGATCATATGTATGGGTATCCAAAATAGACTATTTCTCCTACTTTTGTCATCAAATGCCCACAGACACAAGCTCCAGTCTCTGGGATGACCAGTTTACATCTGGCTGCATCATTTGATAGTCATAGGGTATTTAAATTTGCTCATTTTAAAACTAGCTTTCATCTTGTTAAATAAGACCAAAGACCTAATGAAGCCTAGAGACTAGAAAACTTTTCAAATTAGAATACTCTTTTTAAAAGAATATATTTAATTGTCAATATTTTAAGATACCTGCTTGAAAACATATTTTTTTCTTGTACAAACTTCAAGAGGGATTGGTAAAAACTATACATTAAAGGGACCACAATAGTGAAAGTTGAAGAACAAGAAGTTGAGGAAGAGTAATGGAGAGAAAATAGACAACCACAGAAACAGACCAGACAAGAGAGGGGATATAAACAACCTCATAAGAAAAGAGAAATACAAATGGCAAAAAGCTATTTATCCACTAAAAATCTGGGAAAGCATTTTGAAACAGGAAAAAGGCTTAAACATTCTGAGGAAAACACTTGAGAAAATATAAACCAAGCAGTCTTCCAAAATATTTTATTTAAACACTACGAACCTGAGGTCATTCTTTATGGCCCTGGAGCCTGTTTATCTAAAAACAAACAGAAACAGATTGGAAAGGATAACTAGGGGAGTGATTTGCTTCTGTGACCATGTGTGAGTGAGCCATGTCTGTGCCAGATTCAATGGAACAAAAAACACAAATAATTGTCTTTTCATGGAGAAAACTTAGACCTTTACTTTTAAAGATCTGTCACTATCAGTGATACAGTCCCAAGGATTAATTTTTCCTCTAGCAAAGTTCATTACTGTTTAAATGATACTTCCTGAATGATTTTAGGTCCAAATAACTTTACAGGGGCTACTTTACCCCCAATATGAAGATAACCCTCACTTTGGCTCTATGTTTGGGATGGTTAGGAGCAGTATTGTGGAAAAGCATGTTTTAATTCAATCACTTTTTAATGTTCTCAGATGTATGTATGAGGATACCCACTCCTGTACTAGTGATATAGTTTTCTTTTGTGTTTCCCTTTATTTCTTGTGATATACAAGGTAGTAAGTGATGACTGTGGGATAAAACGATGTCTAAGAGTCAAACTTTTATTCTTATGTGAATCAAGCAAATGTTGGTTTGATGTCTCAATATTCCAGACATTGTGCTGAATGAACAAGACAGAATTCTCTCCCTAAAAGAGTCATCTTTCTTGTGATAGATTATCTAACAATTTAAGAGCTGATTATAATGCAGGATGATGTATTTCAATGTTTCCCATGAATATATGATGGCAGAGAAGCAGGGAATTGAGGCAACTAATTTAGATTATTGATTCAAAGAACATTCTCCAAAATCAGGACAGCTCTGTGAGCATGACAGAGGAGTAGGTGTTACCCAGGAAAGAAATATTCCAGCAAAGTTCCAGAAGAGAGAAAAATTATGGCATCCTCAGGAAGCAGAAACTAGTGTCATATTGAAGGAGTATTTTTTGTAAACTACAGGCAAATGAAAATGGAGGGATGAAGACAGTTGAATTGCCTGGAAAAGTTTTTACTATGCAGATGCTAATTCAGTAGTCCTGGGGGAATCTGCAAGTCCAGAATTTTTATACTCTCTTAGGTGATGCTGAAACTCTGGCACAAGAACCATAATTTCAACAGAATGTTTGCAAACTATGTTTAAAGCTTTGGACTTGATAGAGTGAAGAGGAGCCAATTTCCAAACTGAAGAGTAACGATGTGATATGCTTTCCATTATATAAATATCATTCCTACTGTACATGCATTGATTAGAGGACACAGGACTGGAGGGAGAAAAGTAATCTAGGCATAGGAGAAGGATATGTTGTGCTACAGATGTGAATTGAAGACAGAGAGATATTATACATGGATATTTAAGATGAAGGATGAAAAGTATTTGGAGATAGACTGGATGTCAAGCATTATAGACAGAGAGAAGCTAAATATTATAAGTGATTCTAAATATGGGCAACTTGTACCAGTTGTTGATATGGAAACATGGAGAATAATGGTGGACTGGTGGGGAAAAGAAATTCTAAGCATTCCATTTGGAGATACCAGATTTGAAGAATTTAGAAGACATCCTAGTGGAGCCATGGTGGTTGGATATTAGGCCAGAAATCCAAAGAGACAAATGTCAAGCAGAGAGTGATTTTTAAATAATAAAGAAAATATTGACTAAAAAATATTAAGGCCTACTGCACCGGCACTGACATACATCACCTCTAACATTTATGTTATGGTAGGGCCACCGGTTCATGTTTTTTATATGTATGGGGAAAATACCAAAAAGAAAATGCATACATTATGCAAAAATGAAAAATGATGTAAGAATTATATAAAATAAAATACATTTTAAAAAAAGAAAGAAACAGACATAGGTTGGCACCATACAGAGATGTAAGGCTGCCTTCTCTGCTATTCTTTAATTTACTTACATAAATTCCTCTTTACACAAGCACAGCTTACTTGTGAAGATGGAGTGGACATCAGCACAGTTAGAGAAATGGAAAACAGTACCAATCCCGGCAGTTTAATTGGACCTCCTCACCTTATGTTCTCGAAAACAGGACAATACCATACAGAGGAGAACTGTGCAATAAAGGAGAAGCAAATCCTTCTCTACAAATTTTGTAGTGTCAATTTATAGTGACTTTCAGAGTTTCGATGAAAAAAAAATTAATAGCTTAATGGCTATAGCATTTATGTTCAAAATTTGCCTTAACCCAGAGCAAATGTTTTATTGTGTTTAATAAATAATGAAAGAACAGTTTTATTTGCCTCTACCCTCCTTCCCGTAAGAACAAGCATAGAATTGCACTAGTTTACTTACATCATAAAATGTTATCATTATTTACAAAATGTACATGTGACAGAACTTTACCCTATAAAATCAAATTAAATTTAGGAAATAGAAGCAGTGGAAATTACAGTTCAAATGCAAAAGTAGAAGAGGATATACTCCCTAAAGGACTGAGGGACTGGAGCTGATATGTGATTGTCCCTTAAGGAAGAAACAGATGAAAAGGGTAGAGGTGGCGACACTGAAAACAGCCCTTATTTGTACTTTTATATTCATTCCCTCCATATTTTTTCTTCCAGACAATTGCTAGAATAATATTTTCCTGTTTAATTTCACCACATTAGATCTGATAGCCTGCTTCTCTAATGTAATATTAATTAATTTAGATTCATTAAAAGAACTATGAAATATGTGAGTACATAGAGTAAAAATAGCTGTATTTTGAGATCATACTAAGTGACACTGGGTCACTGACATGACCATCACAGTTAATATATTCATCTTAAAATATAACTTGATTTTCTTTTTTTTAAAGATTGATTTATTCATGCATACAAGAACTGGGGTACAGGCCAGAGATGCAGGGGGGTGAGAGGATTCACCAGAGACAGAGTGGGGAACAGAACAGGCAGACTGACTGAAACACACTGCTGAAGGGAGCAGTGGGTGAGACAGGAGAGGTCTGCTGCGCCATGTGGGTCACCTCCCTGGCCCGGAATCCAACTCATGCTGTAGTAGCTGTGGATAGCTTCATAGTGGTGCATCTTTAACCCCTTGTACCACCAGGGAGGCCCCACTTGATTTTCTTATAAAACCCACATGGTATCATAAATTTAGATATTGAATGGGTCTGCTATGCTTGGAGCAGGTAATTTACTGCCATTATTACATATGACGTTAGTGGTGGAATCAAAACTATAGCCCCTTCTCCTTTCCTGCCTACCATGCTCTCATGCACTCAATATGGGTGTCTCACTCATCAGCAAAACATTTCCTGCCCTAGCTACGGTGCATAAAAGTCCTCACTGGACAAGTTGGGTAGCAAGACAATTTTTCATTGCATTTCTCTCCTCTCAAGTTAAAAAAAATCATTTTGTGAATTAAATTAGAAATTGTATTTAAAAGTCACTTTACTATGTACTCGATCACTGAAGCATACTTGAAACCACTGGAGATAAAATATATACCTCTCACAAAATGAGTAACAAAGCATGGACACAGAAGGCAGGTGCTACAGTGACCTTACTTACCCCTAGCAACTGAACTTATTTGGGGGGGCAGTGGGAGGCTACTCAGTACACACCCCAATAGCCAAATGCTGTTGTTACTGGACTGTCTCCCAGATTTTTAGCTGGGTACCTTCGGCTTTTATTTTAGAAATGGGGAGCATGATAACCACTAGTCGTGATTTCCCTTCAAGCCTTGTGAAGGATCTAAGTCAGTTGTGACTCTACAAGAAAAGAATACATTTTCTTGCCTTCCGTAACTCCAGATGGCACAATGGTGATTAATTTTGAGCCACAAAGAAAAAAAAGGAGATTTAAGTTAATATTTACTAGATGCAATGAAATGACCCCACAATGAAAGTCAGGACATGTGTGTCCTCAAATAAATCCCTTCACCCCTAGCCTGGAGGTCGTCATCTAAGAAAGGAGGAAGATTATATCTGCTCAGTTTGCCTCGCTGTCATGTTACAGAGTAGAAGGATGTTGCAGATTTGAGTATTAGGAATTAATATATATCAGGTGACATTATTAGTTGATAGGCTCAAAGTATTTTTACTTAGTTGTACTACATCTCTATTAGCTTATAACTACATCTCTATTAGCTAATTAGCTATTAGATTCATAGCTAAGTATCAGTCTAAACTTTATTAATCCTTAATCCATGCCAGATACTGGGATAACCTCTTTACATGCATATTGCATTTAATCCTTACAATGATCTTATAAGGTAGGTTTTACTTAACTCATTTTACCAATAGGAAAATTGAAACCTAAAAAGAAATGGTAACTGGCAAGATCACATCACTAATGATAAAATGAACCAGAAATGGAGCACAGGCACCCGCTCCATAGAACCCAATGTGAAATGTTGCAGTGTGAATAAATGAAGATGCTCAGATTGCAGTTTTATAGCCTAGAGAAGCTACTCTCCATAAATGTTAACTCACTTTCTCAAAGCCACTAAGTAATAATATGGCAGAAATTAAACTAGAATTCTCAAATAACTGCTGGTGGTTAAGAAGTTCTCAAGTGGTTAGCACACTCACTGATCCAGAATGCCCTTTTCCTAATTTTCTAAATGATATTCCTCATAAGGCTGTGCTATCAGTGAGATAACAGGTACACTTACAATATTTCTATTACTGTTTGTTCTTTAATTTCTTTTAGTTACTTGATGTGTTGAAAAATGTGACATTCACTGATGAAGGGAACTCATTTCATTTTGATGCCCATGAGGATATGAATACTGGATATGATGTGCTCGGGAAGGAGATCAATGGCCACATGACTATCACCGAGATGGCACAATACGATCTGAAGAATGATGTCTTCATCATCACAGACCAAGAAACAAAAAATGAGTTCAGGAATCTTAAGGTAATTTTGTATAGGCTGCTTTGATTTAAACTTATTGGTGGGGCCTCCCTGGTGGCACAGGCGGTTGAGCGCTGCGCTGTGAAGCTCTCCACAGCCTCTGCAGTGCCGGTTCCATCCCCGCCGGCCTCGGAGCAACCCACATGGCAAGCAGACCTCTCCTGTCTCGCCCGCTGCTCTCCTCAGCAGTGTATTTCGTCAGTCTGCCTATTCTATTCCCGCTCTGTCTCTGGTGAAACCTCTCACTCTCCCGCACATCTGGCCTGTACCTTGGTTCTTGTATAAATAAAATAAATCTTTAATAAATAAATAAATAAACTTATTGGTACCTCAAATGCACAAGTCCTTAATTCCAGCAGGACAAACTTCCCTCCTTAAATTCAATTCATGTCCTCTAACCTCCTGTGGGTCTTTAGTGCTGCTGGATAATGAAACCATTCCCCTAGTCCACTGCTCAACCACCTTCTATGGTTGTCTTATACTTTCTCTACACCCTCTGACTCCAACCTATCATCCCATCCTCACTTTGAGTTGGTATTGCTACAGTGTTCCCCTACTAACACATCTTTCCCTTATCCCTGCCTTCCTTCTGAACTATGGACAGACTGTCTGTGCTTGCCAAGGACAGTTCCTCCATTTGACCTCTGGATCTCAGCCCCAGGATGCCATACCTGCATTCTCAAGTATTTTCTATTCTGCATTATCTACATGATGACACAAATATGCTGTTTTCCATCCCATCTTATAAAAAAGAAACTCCATTTCTCTCCCACATCCCCCTTCTACATACTTCTCCATTCCACTATCTTTACAGCAAAACCCCTTGAAAATGACAAATATATACACTAGCTCCAGTTTCTCTTATCTAATAACTCCTTTGAACTCTTTCCAATTCATCAAAATTATTTCTGTTGAGTTCACCAATGTTAATAAATCCAAACACCATCATACTTCATTTATAGGTTAATTCTTCTCTTCTCTATGATGTGCTTTCTTTATTTGATTCCATGACATCAAACTCCCTTGAATTTTCTTCCTGTCTGGAACTGTTTTTGAGTCTCCTTTGCTGACTCCTTATCATTCCCACTGCCCATAGATGTTGGTATGCCCTGAGCTCAGACCTGTTCCTCCTTTTTGTCTACACTTTTCCATGGAGATCTCATCCAGGCTCGTGGCTTTACATAATACCAATATATAAAAGTTAACTAACGGGCCTCCCCGGTGGCACAGTGGTTGAGCGCTGGGTTGCGAAGCTGCCCGCAGCCTCTGCGGCACCGGTTTGATCCCCGGCTGCAGGCGAGGGTCCCACATGGCGTGCAGACCTCTCGTGCCACGCCCGCTCCTCCCCTCAGCAGTGTATTTAGTCACTGCCTGTTCTGCTCTCCGCTCTGGCTCTGGTGAATTCTCTCACCCTCCCGTGCTTCTGACTGTACCCAGTGCTTGTATAAATAAATCAATCTTCAAAAAAGAGTTAAATAGCTCCCAGATTTTTAGCTCCTGAAATTCAACCCAAATAAATATACAATTCCATAATTGGTATCTCTACCTGATGTTTAATAGGCATCTTAACCAATTATCTCCAAAATTGAGCTCCTGACATTTTCACCCAAACTTACCCCATCTCAATAAATAGCAACTCCCTTCTACTAGTTACACATGAAGAACCTGGTGAAATCCTTGTCAAATTGTTTTTCTGTCACAACTCATATCCAGTCTAAAGTTTACTTTCAAAATGAGTCCAGAATCTGATGATTTTTTGTCCTTATTCTGTTACTGACATTCTACTGCACGCTACAGTTATTTGTCACCCAGATTATTGCAGAAAGCTTTTAATTGCTCTTTGTTTTTACTCTTACCACCTTCAGGCTGTTCTAAAATAGCAGCCAGATTAAAAATACAAAACTCTGCTCAGGATCCTCCCTATAGATCCTTGCAATAACATGTTTTTATAAAAAGGTCTGCCAGCAGCACTCTGTGGCCTCACCTTTTACTACCTTCCCTTTAGAGCTGCCTCTTCTTAGAGGACTCAAAAGGATCACCTGCCTTCTTATTCTTCTATACATGCCTTTTCTTCTAGTTCAAGGCCTTATAGTAATCATGGTGTCTTCTCACTTGCTCTTTGTCTTTACAAATCATAAACATCACAGGAAAGCCATCCCTGTAACTCTATTTAAAATTTCAAAGTTAACCTTCTATTTTTTATACACTCCCATCTTTTGTTATCTCCTTAATGCTTATTACTATCTAAAATTCTGTATATTTTGCTAACTTTTATCCTGTTTATTGTCAATTAGAACTGAAAGTCTGTGACAGCATACATTTTTGTGTTTCATTTTGTGCTATGACTCCAACAACTACATCAGTACCTGGCATTATTAAGAGTGTTGAATAAAGAATTAATATACTAATGCTTTAAAGCTTGACTTTTATTCCAATTTTCCCTATCATAAGTTTCCATAAGGCAAGATACTTTTTGCTTGGAAGATGGAAATGTCGCCATCCTTCTTTGTCTTCATGCTGTCACCACCATCTTGATTATCATGAACCCAGAACTCTGGTACTCACTGTAATTTTTTAACCACACTGTGATTCATTTTCTACTGAACACAGAGAGAAGTTTTATTTGTGCAAGAAGTACAGTTTTTATTATTACTAAAATATCTCCAGACTTTGAAGAGGAGCTTGTCAATGAGGATAAGATGATAGGATAATAAATGAGTGGGGCTTCTAGTGGCTAATAAGAAAGGGGCAAACCACCATGAAAAGAGGGAGAAGACTTTCCTTCTGATGCTAATATCTGTGAACATTTCCAGGAAGTAATAAAAATCACAATGATCTTATTTCAAGGTACACTTGTCAAAAAGTAGCCTAGTTGTGGGTATCAGCATTTCTGGAAAGTCTGAAATTCTTAGTGCAAATCACCAGACAATCCTAAATCTATTGTTATCTCAAAGTTATCAATACTAGATTTTAGAAAGCTGTTCTCTCTTGATGTGGAAGACAGAAAGAACTGTTGCTGGGGAGAAAGGTTTACTTTTCTCCCCCTAATGATATCCAGCTTTATTTCATAGTTAAGTCCTTTTGAGTCCTCTGAAGCACATTCTTGGAGTGTGGCTACTTCAGTTTACTGGGGAATCCATAAGGCAGATATCCCAACTGCTGCAAACTCAGGTCAGCAATTACTATATTGAGAAGAAGAAAGCCAGTGCTTATCACACAGGGTTACTGAATCTCCGCTGCATTTCTCTGTTAGCCAGATCACTTTCATCTCCCACAGAAAACTGTTTAGTTAGTGCACTGGGTGTGCTGCATGTTCAGGAATGGCTGGTAAATGAATGAACCTCATTTATTCATTCTACTCTGGTGTATCAAGGGTAAGAGTGAGATGAAAACAGATTTATTTCACAAGCCATGCCATGAGAAAGAGACAATGAATAAAAATAACGTGTAGTGAAAAATGTTTGACTAGATTGGAAACAAAGGGTACTATGAAAGCAGAAGGCTGCATATTATTTTCAAGGTGACAGGAAGAACTATAATTTAAATTCTCAGGGTGGCTCAAACATTATTATATAGCTAGGGTTATCTTTTTAACTAAACTTCAATGGTTTAAATTTTTTAATTTCAGTTGTTTTGCTTTTTAAGATTAGACAGCGTCCGTAGATGGTATGATTGATAGCCTCCTTCTAAAAGAAGGTAAAAGTCCAGTAATTTACTATTTATGTAGATGAACTCTTCATACAGCACAAAATTAGAAATTTCCATACATCATTTCCTTCTTTAGTTCCACCACTTAACATTTCATCCTTTTCTGGGGACTTTTTGAAAGAGCTGTTTTCCGTTGTTTGCTGACAGAAATTATTAGTGGGACAAAATTAAGTTCTTCCTCAAGCAGTTTCTCTATGTGAAATATCTATTTTTTAAACTTGGTCACATTCCTTCAGATGACAAAGCAATTCCATTAAAAAAATGCTACTTTACTAATAGAACTTTACAAATAGAACTTTAAATCAAAGTTAGTTAGCATCGATCTTTTGAAAAATCTATTTGGTATTTCCTTTCATTTTGTAGCGAATTCAGTCTAAATGTTCCAAAGAATGCAGTCCTGGGCAAATGAAAAAGACAACAAGAAGTCAACACATCTGCTGCTATGAATGTGTGAACTGTCCTGAAAATTACTACACCAATCAGACAGGTAATTACAGTCACTACAGCAAGTACAACAACATACCTCAGCATTTCTTCCTAGATTTTCTTTCTTTTTCCTCCCCCCTCCTCTCTTCTCTCATCTCTTTCCTTTCTCCCTTGCCGCCTTTGATTCTATGCACGTTTTATTTTAATAAGTAACCAATGTGACAATTATCTATATCCATTTTCTAGGAAGGACTATTCCTGAGGAGTCTTATTTGTAGTAGCATGTGGATGATCATGTGATTTAAACGTTTGCAATGTCACTGAGTCTCCTCTGTCTTTCAGATATGGATCATTGCCTTGCATGCAACAATGAAACTCATTGGGCCCCTGAAAAGAGTACAATGTGCTTTGAAAAGGAAGTAGAATATCTCAACTGGAATGATTCCTTGGCCATCCTACTCTTGGCCCTCTCCCTCTTGGGAATCATGTTTGTTCTGGCCATTGGCATAATATTTACAAGAAACCTGAACACACCCGTGGTGAAATCATGCGGGGGACTGATGGTTTGCTATGTGATGCTCTTCTGTCATTTCCTCAACTTTGCCAGCACAGGGTTTTTTGTTGGAGAACCCCAAGACTTCACATGTAAAACGAGGCAGACACTATTTGGTGTGAGCTTTACCCTCTGCATTTCCTGCATTTTGATGAAGTCCCTGAAAATTTTGCTGGCTTTCAGCTTTGACCCAAAGTTGCAGAATTTCCTGAAGTGCCTTTATAAACCGGTCCCCATTGTCTTCACTTGCACGGGTATCCAGGTTGTCATTTGCACACTATGGTTAATTTTTGCAGGACCTGCTGTTGAGGAGAATATCTCCTTGCCCAGAATCATTATCCTGGAATGTGAGGAGGGATCCATCCTGGCATTTGGCACCATGCTGTGCTATATTGCCATCCTGGCCTTCATTTGCTTCATATTTGCCTTCAAAGGCAGAAAACTCCCTGAGAATTACAATGAAGCCAAATTCATAACATTTGGCATGCTCATTTACTTCATAGCCTGGATCACATTCATCCCTGTCTATGCTACCACTTTTGGCAAATATTTGCCAGCTATGGAGATTATTGTTATTTTAATATCTAACTATGGCATCTTGTGTTGCACATTCTTCCCCAAATGCTATGTTATTCTTTGTAAGCAAGAAACTAACACAAAATCTGCATTTCTCCAGATGATTTACAGTTACTCTTCCCACAGTGCAGGCAGTCTTGTCATGAGTCATGCTTCATTGGACTCCACCAGCAGCAATATCACGACCACCCATCTCAGCTCCAGCAGTGAGTTCGCAGACTGGCAGAAAAGCAGGGTGCTTCAGGCACAAGCATTTGCACTCACACACAGAGAAAATGCTGCAAGTGTATCTAGATCTTGGCCTCGAAAAAGAATTTCAAGTATATGAACGAGTCTTTAAGAGATGGAGTTCCAAACTAAAATATTTCTAAGGTCATTGCCGTTAAGATGTATTTACTTTTCAAACAAGTATGTCCAATGTGTTTCTTCACTGCCATTGTTTTTACCAAATTTGTGTAGAATATTCACTCTGTCCACCCATAAGTTTCACAAGGAAAATAGAGGCCTCCCTTGAAACTCCCTTCATCCTTTATCACCTTCATCTGCCTCCCTCTTTACCTCTTAGGCCCTTAGAGAGATCTTTTCAATTAAAAAGTAACCCATAATATATCCTTCCTATTCTACCCTTTACTGCCTCTTCCCCGATCTCTTTGTATTGGTTCTACTTCTTTATCATCTTCACCCTCATGTTCCCACTGCTCAGTTCAGTCCATGTAGGCATCATTTCTGGCCTCATGGAGCTCAAAATCCAGAAGGCATAGACTACATTAATATCCAATTTTCCTCCCAAGTCTAAAATTCTACAGTTCTAACAAGATTAACATATGAATTCCTTCAATGGAGAGTTGTTATCTATTTTGGTATCCAGAATTTCTGCACTTAGTAGGATCTCAATAACTGTTTTCTATCAAATTGAAAAGACGTTTTAGACATATGTTCACAGGTTCTTTGTGCTGGAAAGGGAGCTACATAATGTAGATTAAATTACTGAATGCGCTTAATCACCAAGAGAGAAATACACATTGCACTGTAAATCTGATTTCATGGGAAAATTAAATATAAAAATAAGTTATTTATAGGCATAGTCCTAACTAAGGAGAAAAATTACTAGTCATTTATTTTATAATGAACTTTAAGATTTGATATTTCTTCCATTTGTAGGAAAAGGGGGAGGGGAGACATAGAAGGATTTATTGCATTAGTAGGTAAAAAAGTTATAAACCAAGTTTTGGAATTTTATCTCATACCTCAACTTTTAAGTATCCCTCAAAATATATATATCATTTGACCCTCCAGAATGGGGGAGAAAATAAATCACTTTGCGGGCTTCCCCGGTGGCGCGGCGGTTGAACGCTGGGTTGTGAAGCTGCCTGCGGCCCCTGCAGCGCCGGTTCGATCCCCGGCTGCTCCCCGGCCACCGGAGGAGGGTCCCACATGGCGCGCAGACCTCTCCTGCCGCCCGCTGCTCCCCTCTGCAGTGTACTTCGGTCCTTCTGCCTGCTCTGCTCCCCGCTCTGGCTCTGGTGAATTCTCTCACCCTCCCGTGCTTCTGACTGTACCCAGTGCATGTATAAACAAACAAACAAACAAATAAATAAATAAAGCATGCCTCTATTAAAAAAAAAAAAAGAAATAGCCCTGCATTTATTTAAAAAAAAAAAAGAAAAAGAAAATAAATCACTTTGCTAAGACGCGAAATAGGGTCCTTTGCCTGTTCTCCTGTAAGACACAGAACAGCATTCTCAGACCAATGCTTATTACCTAAAGTGCAACTTCCCCAGAAGTTTTGCAAGGTTCCAAGTCAGCATTGTAATGAAGTTCTAGTGGAATCTGAGAAAACAGAATTTACTGGTTAGATGCATAACCAAAGCTTAAGTGATGACTGAGGAAAGAAAACTTGACCATCTTATTTTCAGTGGGCATAAGTGACATGAATTAATATATAAAAGCAATATCTGTCCTGTAATTCTCAGTATTTATATAACATACACATTTGTAAGTCACACAATACACATATCTATTTTCTGGTCATTAAACTTTTCTGTATAACAATATACAAAGAACCTTGTAAGGAAAAGCAGAGGAAGAAGGGCTTGTCATAGTAAACATCTGGAAAAATATTGAAAGAAGAAATCATGCACACACACTCACACACACCCACATTATTCCTGAAGCTCCTTTTCACAAAAGATTTATAAGGTTTCCTTGGCCTTGGTATCACCTCTGCATAGTACCTTTAGCTTCTCAAAGAAACATTTCTTGATATTGTTAACAAATCTGTGACTTAGTTTTCCTATGTTAAAAAAAATGATTAAAATATTTGTCCTGCTGCCAAATGAGGTTATTACAAGGATTAAAAGAGATAATACACAGCAAAGTGTTTTAAAAACTATAGAGCACTACTCAAAATATTATTACTATCCTCATCACTGCTATTATTTGTTTTCACAACAATCTTGTGACTTTGGTAACTTTACTAAGGAGGAAATTAAGGAACAGTAGGATTAAGTGTCTTGCCTGAACTCACACAGCTGTTTGGTGACCTAGTTGTCATAAATTCAGACATGCTAAATTGTTATTCAGTCACACAAATGTGTGTGTGCTGAAAAACAGATTGCTAGAATAGTATCTGAACACTTTTTATCATGCCTTTGATTAAAAATGTTTAAACTTTTAAGGAAAAAACATATTAAATATTCTTACAGATAGGCTGGTCAAAATATCAGGGTAAGGACCTCCCCGGTGGCGCAGTGGTTGAGCGCTGGGTTGCGAAGCTGCCCGCAGCCTCTGCAGCGCCGGTTCGATCCCCGGCCACATGGTGCGCAGACCTCTCCTGCTGCCCGCTGCTCCCCTCAGCAATGTACTTCGTCAGTCTGCCTGTTCTGGCTCTGGTGAATTCTCTCACCCTCCCGTGCTTCTGACTGTACCCAGTGCTTGTATTTATTTATTTATTTATTTATTTATTTATTTATTTATTTATTTATTTATTTATACAAGCACTGGGTACAGTCAGAAGCGCGGGAGGGTGAGAGAATTCACCAGAGCCAGAGCCGGGAGCAGAGCAGGCAGAAGGACCGAAGTACACTGCTGAGGGGATGGGCTGGGGAGCAGCCGGGATCGAACTGGCGCTGCAGAGGCTGCAGGCAGCTTCGCAACCCAGCACTCAACCACTGCGCCACCAGGGAGGCCCAAATAAATAAATCTTAAAAAAAAAATAAAATCAGGGTAAACTCGTAAATCTGTTTCTCCAGTGAATAAATAAAAACTAGACATGAAACAAGACAAGAGTGTGTTCCATAGTGTTTACCCAACCAGAAAGAGACAGATATTCTCAGACTTTTAAAATATGTTAATAGAACTAGTTTTTCAGTAGGAATTTTTACATACCCTATGTGGTAAGAGAATTCAGAACAACTATTTATAGGCTAATTTGTTAATATTAATCACCATTAAAGAAGCAGTGTGACCTACCAATTCCCCTGCTAGGAATTTAGAACTCAGGAATAGATTTTCAACTACACAGAGATACACTTATTTACAGGATGGTCTTTGTAAAAATCCTTAGAGCAAAAAAAAGTTTATAAGCTCCAGAAAACTTAATTGTCCACAATTTATTTAGGATTCCCTTTTTAAGTATTATTTAACTAGTACATTTGCTGGCTTAGAATTATTCCAATAAAAATCATAAAAAGATGTTTTATGTAATAAAAATAGAAAAATAGATGGTAACAATATTCTAAATGAGACTAATGATCAAGAAGGGAGAAGTGGCACATCCCAAGTCCTTCCAGATAAAGTAAAAATAACTAAATTATGCAATACTGACATGAAAAGCAAACACAGCAAAATGGCATTTTAAGTTTATTTATATATTTAAATATTCAGTGAAATAAGATTCACATAATTCCAGGAAACTAAATGTAATTGTAAATAGAGGGGGATAATTGTAGTGCAAAATAAAAAGAACTTATTCAGATCTAATCTACACCCAAAATGAACTCTATCTCATTTGACTATAGAAATGCAATATATATATATATATATATAGTATTAGTTATAAGGTATAAAGCTCTGCAAACATTACTTGAACTTTAAAAAAAAAATAATATGAAGAAACATCATAACGTCGTATCACTCAGACATTTTTTTCTTTGAATTGTTTCCTTAAATCAGATTCCCGAGGTAAAACTGTTGGCAAACACATAATCACACATGAACACACACGCACACATGTTTCTTGACAGGTGTTGGCAATCAATTCAGAACACATGTTTTGACAAATATCAGAATATTTTGCAGAGAGAATTAAACAAAGTATCTGAATCAAACCCAACCAGAGCATCATGTATTCTGTAATTACAACAAATAAAATTCGAATCTGTCTTCACCATAGAAATATAACAAATGCTATCTTTATAACAAAATACTAAGATGCCACATAAAGTTAAATAAAATGACTAGGTTGCAAAATGGAAATGGTTTGTGAACTAAAAAGTTAAACTTTTTTTATACAGAGACTCTAATTAGAACTCTGCATAAGGGGCCTCCCTGGTGGCTCAAGGGGTTAACTAAGCACAGTACTGTGAAGCTATCCACAGCCTCTACAGCATAAGTTCAGTTCCCAGCTAGCCAGGGAGCTACCCACATGGCACAGCAGACCTCTCCTGTCTCGCCCACTGCTCCCCTCAGCAGTGTATTTCAGTCAGTCTGCCTGTTTTGTTCCCCACTCAGTCTGTGGTGAAACCTCTTACCTCCTGCACCTCTGGCCTGTACCCCAGTTCTTGTATGCATAAATAAATCCTTTAAAAAAAAAACTGCACAAATCTGGATTCGAGACTTTGAGGAAGCACAAAGAAATAGAGAATATTCATGTTCAGAATTTGAAAATATGGGATAATTTTATGTAATCTTTAATGTTATTTTAACAATAAATAACCTAATATAGTGAAATATGTAAGAGATAAGAGTAAGATTGTGAACATGCAACTCTGTAGCCACTAATTACATTTAAATGTGCATGGCCTGAACTAAAAGCACAATCACTTTTTTATAAATAAATGTCAGTTTCAATTGCCTTGAGCCTGAGAAAAATCATGAAAAAACACAATGACTGAACTCACATATATATTTAGTGGAAAGACTAGCACAGATGCCTGCTTCATTTACATTTGAGGGATGTGGTGTGTGATGCTATTTTATAACCTGATTTCAGGTATGTCACATAACCACTTGGTAGCTTAGGCTCCACAATGGCAAAATGGCTATAAAAATTTCATTTTTTTCTCCTGAAAGTTGATTATAGACTAAACTTAGAATTTTTAACTACCAAAAGAAAAACAAAATGTGCATATATTTGAGCTTCAGAATACAGACTGTGAGT